GAGGGCAACGCGTGTCCCTCGGCCCTCCCCGGCTGCCGCTCGGCTCATGCAGCACAAACTATTTCAACGTGGAAAACCGAACAGAAAGCTGGCAGGTTGCTGGCGCGGTATCCGGATATACCAACCGGACCAACGCGTCCGTACTGCTGGTGCAGGCACTTAGTGTATCACGGACATGCAGATTTTATGTCCGATTAGATGTAACGGCCAAACAGTGTCACGTTCTTGGACTGATTTAAATACTACGAGCCCAAGAAGGCCTCTAATACCTTTCTTAAACACTGCGATTTCTTTTTTGTTTTTTTGTTTTTAAAATAAAGCCTTCAAAGTGTTCAGCTTTCTTTTTAGGTGTTATTTTTTCCTTCCCTCTAAAACCGTACTGGAATAACAAATAACCCCGTAACCTTCATTTCCATCTTTCCTACTCGATTTACCTACAAAACAATTATAAACAGTCTGGCCCGCTAGGTCTGAGAGCTGTTATATCGCGAATGTTTCGGAGTACTACGGAGGACTTTGATCCAGAGCGAGAGCGCAGCGCCGCTGCCGCTCGCTTGGCTCTCCCGGAGTCCTGCGGGCTGAGAAGGTCCTTCCACCTCCTGCTGCTCACGGTTCCTCTGCAGATTCAGGCACCATAACTGACCGTTAAAGATCTCATGGCCAAATCCTTAGGAAATTAAATAAGCTATAAAATAATTTATGAAGAGGGTTTCCTTTTTTTTTTTCGTTTAGTTTAAATATAGCTAGTTCATAGTATTCCTTGAATAGTTTAGGTTTTTGCTCTTTTGCTTTCCATAGCAGAATTAGGGATATCACACACCTTCGTGTTACCACGTCTATTAAAGGACTGTTAATTACCAAAGGATGCTGTTATGAACGTTTCCCCTCTCCCTCCCCTCCCACCCACTCGTGTTAGGCTCTTTCAGAAATGTTAAGTGAAGACCAGACAGGCGTCAGATAAAGTCAACACCTTTCAGACTCGAAAAACAGTGTCGTCTTTAGGATGTGTGCTGCTAAAGACCTTATTGCCCTTCCAGGTCATCGATAAACCACAGTGCTATTCATGTCCTACAGGTAAAAAATAAATAAATACAGATATATTATGCAAAAAATATGATTGTACACATAATACATCTGAGGTATTACCAATTTAAATAAGGTTTCATGCTAGTTCAAGCTTCGGTGGCTATTTAAAATTCTGGAATTTGCAATAAATAGAGGAAGAATGATTATGCATATAGTGTACGGATCTCTTCTGTAAACCTTGTCTGATTTAAACATAAGAGCACGTTGGGTTAACTCTTATGCAAATCACAATTTTTCACAATAAATACAACTCCAAAAGTTGTCTTAAAAAGTTTCTGCAACACTGAAAAGTTTCTCGAAGGGGCTGTGTGTACGACTGGCAATGTTAACAAGGAGTATTTCTCAACAGGTCTTTTCATACAAAACACAAGGAAATTCATACTGGAAAGGCTTTTTCCCTCCCCTGACCCCCACCCCACCATGAAAGTTTATAAATTTTGCACAAACAGCAAGAGAACTGATTGTAGCTGCAGTATGTCAAAACGTCCATGTTCTATAAAGACCAAAAATAGTTTGTTTGCTTAGAAAGTTCTTTCTTCGTAGCACATTGTCCTCTTGGTGAAAGTGTGTCCGTTCAACTGTTCTTCAGTTTTAGTTTCAGGGCTCCAAAGCTGTCTTTCTTTCCTGCCCTCCCTCCCCCCAGACGTGCACTTTTTAAACTTTCACCGTTTCCATTAGCGATGACTTAATGGCATCTTCCAAAAGCTGATTGTCTGTGAAAGGGGCCGGGGTTTCTGGGACAGATTCAGACAAGCCGATGAGAGACTCCAAGAAGCAGGAGCCCTGATCTCCAGCTTGCGGGAAGCCAGGGAAATTAGGCAACTGAAACTGTAACGCTGAGAAGTTATCGAGGTTTTCGTATTCCTTTAAGGAGTTATACAGAGGTCCCAAGTTATAGTCTGAGAAGGACTGAAAGAAATCCAAGGAGTCAGAGGACAGGCTGAGATCCGTGTAGCTCTTGGAGCACTGCTCTGCCGAGGACGAAGCGCAGCAAGAAAGCCCATCGCAGTGCGCGTGGGCGGCCTCGTCCAGAAAACAGCTCGCGTCCTGGTTGGCGTTCTCATCCAGGCACTCGGAGAGGTGGGAAAGATGCCCGGAGCCCGTCCCCGCCGCGCTGGCCTTTTCCGTGCCGGGGCCGCACTGCTCTTCGATGCTGGTGCTGAAGAAATCGGCAGGGTGGAAGCAACTCAAGTTGTCCTGGCAGTTATTGCTGTTTTCTTCGACGTCGGAGTCGTTGAAGTGGAGGATCCTCGCCAGGCCGTCGTCGTCGACGTCCGACTGGGACTTGTCGGAGGGGCCGTTCTCATAGGGCTCCTCCAGGTCCTCGCTGGGGTTGGAGGAGATGGAGGAGTCCGTCATGTCGCTGCTGCAGCTGTTCTCCCCGATGGTCTCCAGGTCCATGTTGAACTGGAAGGCCGGCGTCAGGGGCACCGCTCTCTCCTCGAAGACTGTTTTCCCTACCGAACACCCGAACTGATGGAGCCTCTCCCGGAAGGAAGACTCGGCGCCTTCGGCCGTTTTCTCGCTGCTCTGCTGCTTCTTCTCCAGCTCCAGCTTCATAATGGTGTGGATGAAGTGGGTCTGCACGCGGGCCTGGTTGAACTCGATTCGCCCTTCAGTGTTTCCGCAGCCATCCTTGGTGCAGCCGCAAGGGAACGACGTGTGATCCATCTGTCGTGGGAACAAGCAAACATAGGGTTAGACCAATGCATGCCTGATGGTGCCCTACCCCTGGCCTCTCTTTGCCTAGACGCTGCAAGAGCTACTGCAGCAAGGAAAACACGACGTGAAATCATGCAAAGCACGGCTTAGTAAAACTGAAACCGCCCTTTACTCACTGACTGAGAAACCACCTTTGCAGCGCAAAATAATAGCTAAGAGGAAGATTAGGAAAAAAAAAAAAAGAAGAATAGAAGAAGGCACTCTGCTCTTTTGGAGGATCGTCATAAAAAAACGATGAATTGAACAACTTAAGACCGTGCACTTGAAAGAAAGTTAACAGGGAAAAAGAAATGGAAAGTATTAACCCTTAGAAAGGAAATATATGTGGAGAACAGAGGGTAAATATGAGGTTTAATAGATATGCATCATGATATTTAATATATATGTACACCATGAGCTTTTACCCTTTTCTGAGTGGGAGAACAAATTGTCTACCTGGCAGCTGTGGTACCGTCACATGCGAATTATGACCAGCCACTAGAGGGGGGCTGTGACACATGTACAGAGCACCAGCCTGTGCATACCCTCCCCGCACAAACCCCATCCTCTAACCACAGCACCTAGTGTGTAAGCGGCCCCCAAAATATGGAATATGCCTCCCCGAACACAGGCGGGCAGGTAGCCATCAGAGGAAAAATAAATAAATTCCCTAACTGAAAACATAGGAATTACTCCACCAGCTTGGTTTGCTGGTGGTCTCTACAACTAGCTATGGGCTGACGCTTGGCTGGTGTTTCCAGCAACGTGGATGGGGTCTCCGGAAGCATTTCTTGCCGGCTTTCTTCTAAGCGCTGGTTAGAATGAATGCGTTTTACAGGGTGGCTTAGCTCTGTCCTTCTTGCTCAAAACCAGCCTGCTTTTAATACCCATGAGCCAGCTGGAGCCTCGGCTTTTCCCTCTGGCACTGCTGCCCGTGCACTCGCTTGCTGCGTGCAGTCTCACGTTTCGCTCTCGCTCGGGTCCCCCATCCAGTGCCCTCCCCTTTCCTTCTCCGTCAGGCAGGACGCGTGATGGCACGCTGCCTGGGAGCTGCGGCGAAGCGCCCTACCTGACACTTGATGCCCGCCAAGCTGCAGCTGCAGGTCTCCGGATCGCAAAACTCCTGGCAGTCGCAGCCGCAGTCTTCCCGCGACAGGCGGATGTTGTGCAGCTCCCGCTTCTCCTCCTTGTCGATCTTCTTCACCCCCATGGCTTTGAGCAGCGCCCGCCTCTTCTTGGCTGGGTAGGGCTGGAGAAAGAAGCCGTCTTCCAGGTCCACGTTGCTCACGTCAATGTCGTCGTCAGAGATGTCTTCGATGGTGAGCTGGTTGGCCTCTTCTGACTCCTTTGTGCCGTTCATGGTCAGCTGGGAGCAAAGCATGGGCAGAGCGTTAGGGACCCGCTGTGACCACCAAGCTCCGCACAGCCGGGAAAATTGTGGAAAAGGGACCAAATCAGCGGTTGCCAACACCCAGGGTCGGGAGAAACTAGAAAGGGAAGAGCTGCTCCAATGGTGGCAGCCTCCAGGATCAACCTCTGGGGCTCGGACCCCAGGACAAACCTGACTTTTCCCAGAGAACCCAAAGGCCACGGAGGGCACAGGCCCCTCCTTAAGGTCTCACCTAAAGACCTGGCAGACACCCAACATAAGGAATTCAGCATCTTTTTTGCCACCTTCCAAGGGTGGAGAACAGAGCTGAAAATCCCATGTTGGAGCCTATGTTTTTTGGAGATCAAAGCAAGGTCAAGGACTTCCGCCTTGAGTTCCCAGAGAGGCCTCGAATAAAAAACGACTATTAACTACGAATAGTCACCCGCTCCCGCTCTTACTCACTTTCCATTTCAACGCTTCCAACTTCTCTTCTTTTAATTTCTCTTCGAGTTTCTCCCGACGGACGTTTTCCTGCTCCTTTGAGAACTCTGCTAGAGTGAACTGCCTGGAGGCGCTGTGCTTGCTCACCATCCCCAGGGTGCAGCCACCGCGACTAGGCACGCTCGTGAACCCCTGGCAGCGCGGGAAGTAAAACACAGTGACCCGGTCAAACTCCACATTGTTCTTCTTTAGTCGCTTGGATTTCTTCAGGATAGACGTGGCTAAAAATGGAAAAAGCACATGAAGTCAGTAGGGCCACCCTCGGAAACAGAGGGCTGTAAGTATTACGCAAAGGCAGGACTCGCAATTACTCTCTCCAGAGCAACGTGGCAGGGAAAGGTCACAGGATTAGCTGAAGGCTCCTTGTGCTGTAGGATCTAACTCCCCAAAGAGGGCAAATGGATGGAGAGGAGCTAAGCCAAGTCCTGATGCTGCAGAATCGCTGAGCAGATTCACCCTAAGAAACGGCTGCTGCTTCTCCTTCCCGCATGATCTCCTCCAGGAAACACACATTTGCTTATTCTTCAAGTGCAGCAGCGCATAACGAACAAGCAAAAAACCATCCTACGGGCTCGTCTTGCTTCAAAGCGGAGCACCCTGCCTGTCCCGCGTTTGGGATGGCGAGGTCCGCTCCCGGGATGCCCGAGCGCAGACACTGCGGCGGCACGCAGTTGGGGCTTTTGTAACCGAGCACAACATAGCCGAAACGGCTGTTTTTCTGGTACTTCCTTTCACCATCCTCTGGGAGGAACTACGAATCTATAGTTTATTCTCAAGAGGCTCATTTGAGAGCAGCTGCAAAGATGTTAATCTCCATGCAGGTGATCCCGGGGTAAACATGGCAAAACACGACTCTGGTTTATCTTAAGCTGCTGAAACACGCTACACCCCATTTAAAGCAGAGCCTCTCCAGGGATACCTGGCTCTGCACATTTGCTGGCGCGAACGCAACAGATGGAGGCGGACTAATAGGCAGGGGCAACCTCAGAGCCAGTGAGTCTCCACGAACCTACCTGGCCGCAAAAAAAGGAATGCCAATCGTAGTAATATTGGGTTACAGAACTGCTTTTTCTGCAATATGAGCATGGCAGCAACAAAAGCTAAGCACAAATTCAGCGTTGGAGGGTTTTCAGTCCCATTCACTGCTAATCCCTCACAGGAGGCGCACGGATGTCTCAGTTGCCACCGTGGATCATTGCGGAGCCGGAGCCACGGGCCATCGCTGCAGAGATCGAACCCAAAACCCCGGCGGCTCGCTGGGCTCGGCCGGCCCCGCAGGCTGGGGAAGCGCGGGACCGGGCAGCGAGGTGCGTCCACGTTTCGCCGCTCTCACTCGCCAAAATATAGCATTTCAGTTGCATCTGCAAAAAGCGTTTACCCAGCTGTGTCAGCAGCTTCTGCTAACTGGCGCCGGGTTTCAAACTGGGCCCCGCGCTCGCTTCGATGCTATCTCTGCACTGTGCCTCACATTTTCATCACAGCCTCGGTTCGATCTGCCACAACATTAGCTCTTTATCAAAAGGCGAGTTAACCACCGCGATCACTTATCGAGGGAGCTGTAACACTTTGGCATTCGCTTCTCCCTCACCTCCCCCCAAAACTGTTCTTTCCATTCCTGACCCTTCTCCAATTGAGCCAGGGAATACAAAAAGTTCATTGTTTTGCCCCAAAACCTAAGAAGACAAGCAAGAATGAGATTCTTTATTATTACAAGACTTCTAAAGCCTTTTCAGACCACTGCATGTTTGTGTATGTCTGCTAAGTGGACCTTAACTGCTATATACAGTGGGCGTGCAGTATAATTTACTAGGTTGGACTATTTCTCCTCATTGAAGATGGTCTCCTATTGTCTTCTCATTCTTTGCCTGGCAGATAAGGATTTTTACAATCTTGTCTTCGACGTGTTTTCCTAAAGGCTCTCCTAACTGATTTTGCTGAGAAAACAAAGTTGCATTTATCTGCACTAGCAGCGGAGGCAATGTCAAACGTGTCATGGTCTCTGGCAGAGCACCCAACTCACTGAAGAGACGGGCTCTGAAATGGCAATGAAGCTACTGGTTAATCATTTTTTAAAACTAACATTATGGGCCTTCCCTGTCTGCTTAATAGTTGTCTTTTTAACAGTTTGACCATGAGTTTAGGGATTTGGGGATGGACCCACAGTACTGGCTTCAAGGCACCTGTCTGGCTCAGCAGGCTCAGGTCCTACAGGGTTTCTATTTTTGGAAATTTGGACTTCTGCAAAAAAGCTAACAATCAATAACAAATATTATGAGGAAGGGCAGAACGGCTGAGGAAGACCACCCTGAAAACGCAAGCTGATGTAAAAAAACAACTTAAATCGTTTGGCTTAACGACACGAAGCAGGTGTCATGGCCACTTCCACTCATGAAGGTGTGCTCCAAGAGGTACAGAAACACGCTGGGGGCCTGCCCGACCCCAGGCACCCGGGAGGCTCGTTGCCAGTGGTGATATGAGGTACTCACGGGTGAAATTGGGCGTTAAGGCCGAGCCGGGCTTGATGTCTCCGCGGGAGCTCTCCTCGTCCGATTCCCAGCCAGAGGAAGCCGAGGAGGAGGACAGCGGGGAGCAGGAGGAGGAGGAGCAGTAGGTGCTGTCGTCCCCCAGCTCTTCGTACTTCCTTTTCAATACCCCGCTCATGGTGGCGCCGTATCTTTCATATACCTGAAAAACGAGGGAGAAAGAAAGGCAAAATAAAGCGAGGGAAATGATGACAGCTCCCAGTGACGGGCCACGATGGTGTCAACCCCCGGCAAGGCACCAAGTCAGCACGGCTCAGCCCCGGGTGCAATTCCCACCAGGTACCGCCGCATAAGCGGACCTTACGAAGGGTCTCTGCCTACCTCGGCCGAATTTCCCATTTTTCCCGCAGAAAAACCAACCGCTGCGTACAACAAGCTGCCCGGAAGCAAATTCAATCAATGCAAACGTTACCAAACCGTAAGTATTACATTTTGCTTACTAATTCTTTTATGTTAACTTCTCACCCAGCTCACTTTCGATGCAGTTACAGCTTTAACGTCTTGCTAATTACAAAAATAAGCCCGTTTGCAGAGAACAATCTGTTGGCATGATTTACTTGCTATAGCCCCCTGGGGAAACAGACTTATTAAATGCAGCACTGAAATACAAATATATCAGCTGCGAAGAACGGCCCTTCTCCTCCTGGTGCCTTTCGTAGCCAGCCCCCCCATTCAATAAGCTGTTCCTGCTTAGGCTGGGTTATGTATCAAGCATAGTAGCAATTCAAAACAACGTAGCTAATTGAAAACAAAGTAGTTGGGCGCTGGCCTCGATTTCTAAATCTCCTCCGTGCTTTTGCGTGGCTCACCTCAAGCAAGCCAAAAAA